TTATCAACAAGAAGTTAAAAAAAAAAGTAACACGAGTGAGCGAATATCTTTTGACACGCTAAAGATGTTAATAACATGGCTGGATCTAGACATATCAGGTAATAAACAGACTTTGTGGAACGATTTATCTCTAGATAAAGCAGAAGATATTTAATCTGAATCAGTTAAAAAAAATTGCCAGAACCAAATGAAGAAACCCACAACAAATTACAGTATTAACCGTTTAGAAGCACAAGTTCAATATTTGGGGAAATTGCCAATGCAAAACAAGTTAAAATTTCTTTTAGATAATAATCTTCATATAAAAGATGGCCATGATGATTATGGTGAATTATTTCCACTTCCGTGTTAAGTGCCAATGATCTTTAGTATAGATGACAATTAGCTACTCTTCATTAACAACAACTTATAATAAAAAAAATGCCAAAAAAATAATAAGCCTACACAAAATTATATAATTGGGTTTCATATCACGAGCTGGTGATTTGAGACACGGCCACACGGCTTTTTTTAAAAAAATAAATCCACTCTAACGAAGATCGGCCATAATATGATCGATTGCTTTGTCAAATTGATCCTGACCTCTCGGAATGCTATTTTGAGAATGATAAGTTTTAATAATAGTATCTAGGTTTGGTCAACCCGAGTTATAGTAAAATCAAATGAAAGACCTTTACTAGTAACGGAAGCTGTAAGTGTGGCTGATCATAATGAAATCGGATCATTGTAAAATTTGGGGTCTCAATTTAAAAATATAAGCTCTACTAAAATCCACCTATACTCTTTTACTAATAACCCTAACCCTAGACCCTAACTTAACTATAAAAAAGCTGACAAAAAAGGCCCTAAAAAATTTTAAAAATCGTATATAAAATAAATTAAATTTCACAATGATCCGATTTCACAATGATCTTCCACATTTCTTTACTAACAAATATAATAAGCACGTATTCTGCAAAAATCACTTATATTAACATCGATCAATGTCCCGTTAGACTTATTATTTTAGCTAACGTAACAGGCACTTTTAAAATAGATCAGACAGAATATGAAATGCTACAAATTCTTTTTTTAAGTACGAAAAAGTGCCTGGTCAAGCACAAATATTTCTTGGTAATAAATAATTTCTTTATATTCTTGAATAGCACAATTGCAATACGTGTAGACGTAATTAATTTATTTATAGCTCGAATGGGCAAGAACTTTAGGTGGCCTTATTCGATGCCGGATTATCTTAGAAGGGGTGCTTTCAATAATATCACTAAGGTTGGGTCCAAATCCGATGAAGAGTTTGGGTTAGAGGTTGGGGTTAACCTCATATTTTTTTACAACGCACTCGACGATGGTGAATTTGTCGGACACAAAACGATTGGGTGACAATACACAATCGAAGAATAATAGAGTGTGGACAAATGTATGACGATGATAAATTGAATTGCATACTCAAAACTATGCCTGGTGCTGTACAAATCCCAGTTAACCAGAAAAAATTGCCACGTAGTCCACCGGCAAGAATGGTGACCGTTCGACGTGTAAACAATGGCGATGACTACAAGGTTTGAATATATATTGGACTATATGTTTAGGAGAATTACTTTATCTATTATTTTAACGGCCAGAGACAATTTTACCATATTATATTAAAGAAATGCTTGGGAATGCGGGATGGAACACTTATGAAAGAATGGCTGAAGGTTACGAGTATTAAGTGGATTACAGCCGATAGTCATCCTTTTACTACTGTTGAATTAGAAAGCTTTAAAAAGTTGGTTGAGGTGATTAAAAAATTAGATAACAATATTACACTTCCCTCTGCCAGGACAGTTAAGCGAGATTTGTTAAACCAATATGCAGAACTAAAAGACTCCATAAGAGATGTTCTAATAAATAATTCAAGTAAAATATCTCTTACAACCGACATGTAAACAAGTAATTCGTGTAAAGCTTTTTGGGTATCACAGCACACTAGATTAATGATAACTGAGAGGTTAAGTTGCAAGTTCTTGACCTTGTACTTTTTGATGGAGCACACATTGGAATGAACATGGCAAATACTTTATTTAGTATTTGTAATAACCTTTAATATTGCTAATAAATTTTAGAAATAATCATTGATAATGTTTCAAGTAATAATACATTACTTGAAGTATTCAAAGTTTAGTGTAGAGATAATAGTGGTTCTTTTATCAAACAACAAGGTCATGTCTGTTGCATGGTTCATATTATTAATCTTGTTTTGCAAGATTTTTTATATCACCTAAATTCAAAAGTACTAGATCAAGATAAACTTTGTATTTTAGACTAACCTATCACCTCCCAAACTTCAACTATTAAAAAGCTTTGAAAGCTTATTGCCAAACTTCAGAGTTTGCCTTAGTATTACAAAAAATTAAGTAATTTATACCAATCTCATCAAATACAATTTAGCACTTTAATTCTTGACTTGAAAACTTATTGAAATTTAATATTTAACATAATTGAACAAGTTATTAATATAGTACTAGCAATCAATAAGATAGTTAATAAAATTCAAAAACTAAATAAATCTAGTTAGTGTTTTAATATAATCAATTAATAATTTTGACCCAACTATTAATTAATTAGCCAACTAATTAATTAATAGTTGGATCAACTTAGCCAACTAAGCAATTAATCAATTTTCAATTTATACTTTTAAATTAGATTTTTTATCAAGAAAATAGAGTATGCTTAAAGAAATAACTTTACTTTTAAAAACTTTTTATAATTGTATAACAAATTGTACATAATAATATCTTTTGCTATACTAGTCTTTAATTTAATTATAAATAATCTTGAAGATTTGAAAATAAAATATTTATTAGAAATACTAGAAGCTATTAAAGCAGCTTTTAATAAATTAAAGCTTTATTATATAAAGTGCAATAATCAAATATATATAATAACAACTTTATTAGATTCAAAATTAAAGACAAAGTACTATGAAATAGAAAGGTAGAAAAGAAGGTGGGTTGTTTGGGCAACTAGATGTTTAAATAATAAATATAACAAATATAAAAATATTGTAGTTAGTAATATTAATATTGATATTAATAATATTTCATTTTTTTTTTTTATAGTAAATTGCTTATATGCTATAATTTTTATTAATTAAGAACTTAGAAACTTATTATATATTGTATATTACAGTAATCGAATTGTGCTATATTAAACTATCTAATGACACCTACTCTAAGCAATTTAGTTATACCTTTGCTATTTTTAGAATTTAATCAACAGCTATTACCCCATCAATTAACTTTCAGCTAGCATATGACCCACTTTTTTCTCTATATATAGTTTTTTTATATTGTTATTAGTATCTTGTCCTCCTATCCACTTCCTATAGCAACCTTCTTTATCTTCTAGTTTGGTTCATTTCTGCAGTTTTTTGCTCTTGTTGCTCACAAATTGGTATATATATTCTTATCAATACTACATGTTGTGCTGCCACTATTGTGTTCATATCTCAAGCCAACTTTTGAAGTGCTGCCATAACACAATCTGTATCTTAAACTACAACCTTCTATATTAAATGCAAACAAATTTATTGATTCTTCTAGTTGTTAATTCACAGTGTATCACTTGCTTTATATAGTATTACCAAAGTTGGTGCTGTCTGTAGTATGAGCACCAAAGGCTTTCCAGTATATCTATTTTTACTTGTAGGTATACTATTGACAATCATTTTCACTTTTAGCTTGGTGCTATAAAGAGATCTGGAACCTTGACTAACAATATACTGGTATAGCACTTATTACTGAAATTAGTAATGTATGATATAATATTTAACACAACTACTAACCTTATATAGATGCCAGAGATATTTCTAGAATTTAATTAAACCAATTCTTTTTCTACAGATCTTTACCATATCCACTGCTTCACTCATCACTCCTAGTTTGAATATTAGTATTATTCTCCTAATCAAGATCCCAAACCTCTGAGTTGTTGGTACTACCATATAGATCTTCTACTATAACCACTACTTTACTTATTACTTCTAGTTTGAAATATTAATATTATCTTTTCAAACAAGATCCCAGACTGCCTAGGTTATTAGTGTTACTTAAGTGTCTCAAGGATTTCTATATACAACCTATTTGTCCCAAACCTTCTATAATGCTGCTTGTCAAATGTAATGCTAACTCTCTATAGTTTTAATATCTACAGATTAATATACGCAACCTATTGTCCAAACCTTCTATGATGCTGCTTGCTAAACATAATATCAACTCTCTATAGTTAAATCTCTTTTCAGGAATTTTCTATCAAATCCATACTATACTTGGACTTTCACAAGGCTCCGTGTTTGATTTTGGCTCTTTACCTATAGGCAGGGTTGGCAATGGAGTTCAATGGAGCTAATGGAGCTGCAAATAGAGCCAATGGAGCTGCGAATGAAGCCAATAGATACTAGTTTTTTGAACTCCATTCACATAACCATTTAACTCTATTGGCTCCATTGCCAACCCTGCCTGTAGATTATAAAGTTTTTTTTGTCTCTAGCCCAACTCAAACTATAAATCTTAACTTAATTTTCATAGAGGTTTGGCAACTTAATAATTAAGCTATAGAGCCCAAACCTTAATAATATTTCTAGTAGTAATTATTTTAAACAAATTTTTGATAAACTTTATAAGTTTACAAATAAGGTAAATAAGGTTAAATAGTATTTTTTTTTTTTTTTTAATATTAAGGTGACTACTTAGGCCCCCGGCACTTGGCTTTATTCAGATAAATACGATATTACATCAA